TTTTAACTGAAATACCTCTAGTTCCTTAAAACAACTTGCTAAACAATTTATACATTTCCATTAAACACTCTAGTTAATTAATTTTATTTTTATTATTTGTTGTCTAATCGTTAGCAATTTGACTATTAACACTGTGAAAAAAAAAAAAAAAACACAAATGAAAACACAAATTGTTTAACAATTTAAATAGAAAATTTGCTAAAAAAATTTGCGCAAAACAAACGATTATGGTTAAACAATTAAAGTGTTTAACAACAAGCAGCCACAGCAAATTTAGCTCAATATGTTGCTGATATGTACTGCTCTACAGCAACAGTAAACAATGCGTTTGTCCACAGCTAAAGCAACACTTTCGCTAAGCAAAAAAAAAAAAAAAAAACACTATGTTTTCAAACAATGATCTTTAAACCATTTTCAGGGGAAACAGGGAAAAAAACAGCACCAACAACATGTTGTTAGTAAGAAAAAAATTCACGGCAAAAAACTATATATAGTGTCAACTGAAATTTGTGTTGCTGTTGTTGCGTCTAAAAACAAAACAATAGTTTTAAAGTAGAAGATTGCAAAAAGAAAAAATGCAAACAACATTGTGTTTTATGCAATTGTGCAATAACGATTTGCTCAAAATGGTCATTTGAACATGACCATTATTGGTCAATTGCATTGAAAATTTGCTTCTTTTGTTTTGTCTTAAGAGAAAAAAAAAAACACATTTTAGAAACGATTTTAAATAAAAGCAAAAGTTTTTTATTGTTTTTTTTTTTTTGGGGACAACGCATAGACAATACGACAAATAGACGCATGTTCAATGTTAGTTTATTTTACTTTAAACCATTGTCAGCCATTAACCCTTGGTTTATATAATTGGCCTTTAAAGGGTTTTTGTAACGTTTATATTTATTGGTAATTGTATTAAGTATTTTAGAAACTTGAGCTATAATTTGGGTTTTTTGAGGTTAGAAAAAGTCGTTTTTCAATTTAGAGTTTTTTAAATCAGGACAAATTTTAAACGTTGTTTTAAGATAACTAGACCTTTTCTAGAATGTTATAAGAATTTGTATATTAAAAATTCTCTAAAACCCGTTCCAATGCCGATAATGTCAAACAAATACCATCGAATAATAAACTAATTTCAGAACAATTACCCCTCCACAGCACCTGTTCTGTTTTTCCAAAACATCCCCAGAACTATTTAGAACAAACATTATCGATTAAAGATTAACTTCCTAAACCATTTTATATAAAGAATGTCGTCGCAGTACATTCTGAGATTAATTTGTTCTCTGAAGTTTCCCTAGAACTATTTTATGGTCGCGAACAAAATCTTCGATTAAAGAACTACTTTCAGAACCATTTCATAGTATAAATGTCGACAGCATAAAGCATCCAAAAGACTAGTTTTGAGATGTATTTGTTCCCTAAAACTTCTTTAGAATTATTAAAATGACCCCCTCCATCAGCAATCATCAATTAAAGAACTCCTTCCAAAACCATTTCAAAGAAGAAATGTCTACAGCATATAGCATCTACAAAACCAGTTCTCTAAAGTTTCCTTAGAACTACAAATTTAGAAGGTAACAATCTCGAATGAAAATCATCGATTACAGAACTAGTTTCAGAAACATTTTATAGATCGAATGTTAAAAGCAAAATCAGTTCTAAAGAGTGGCGTATCATAATGTCCATGGACACTATGACACACTAAATTGAGTCATAGTGTCCATGGACGTTATGACAATTTCAAAAGTGTCACAATGCCTATGAGCATAATGACATAAAGTCTGTGGATTTCAAAGAGTCCATTTATCAAAAAAAGTCTAATTTAGCGAAGCCGGTATTCAAAATATGCCTGAGTTGAAAATTCCTGCGCCCGGCCGAAGGCCGCCTATCCAGGACGCTTTTTTAAAGGAATCCAAAACGCAACATACATCAAATTTCGGAACAATTATTTTCGGGATAAGAGTGTTGTCCCTTTCCTAAATTCTAAACAAATTTTCCAATACATTTTTGTTTTAGAAGTGTCACAATATCCATGGACGTTATGACACTTTTAAGAATTGTCATAACGTACATGGACACTATGACACTTTTTGGCGTGTCATAACGTCTAAAGGTTCACCAGAAATAGTTTTGAAAGTATTAATTTCATATTGGACTTTGACTTATTCTGGACATTTGAGAGTTTCCTTAGGGATACACGTGATCTTGAAACCCAAATCGCTGGAAGAGAATATTAGCTTAAGGACTGACAATATTTCGGGATAAGTTCCTGGTGCTGTTTCGGACTCAACTTAGCTCCACAGATGAGTTACTATGGCAACAAGTTGATATCACGATGACAGTAAATAGAGCGAGTTTAAATGTTTTGGATGAAAGATCTATGTAATGGGTTGCATGCCAAAGTATGTACGTTATTCCTGTCCTCGAGAAACTTATCATCCGTTTTTGGATATGTTTCTGGGTTTACTAAGTTCAAATCTGACCGCAGATGGTATCCTGTATGCAAGGAATGTCTAGTCTTATTAATGCGGATAGTACTTAGATCTAGGTACTGATACCAAATCGAGGAACTTTTCAGATATAGTTCGAATATTGCTAGATATTTCACAACGAGATCACAAATGCCACCTGCATGTTACTTGCAGTCTTAAAGGGGCGGTAATGAGATGGTTGAAGAGAGTGAGATAAGATCTTCAAGATAGAAGATCAGGTTATGGGTTGCGATGTTCCTGTCCTCGAGAAAATTATCATTATTTCTTGGTAATATTTCGGGGTTTACTTAGTTCAAACCTGACCGCATAGTGTCTCCTGTGTGTAAGGAATATCCTGTCTTATTAATGGGGATAGTTCTTCAGTCTAGTCTAATGCGTCTCTAGGTGCTGGTTTCGGATATATAGCGACATTCCAGCAGTGTGTCTGCACATTGTCGAGTAATTCTTTAAAAATTGTCTGAATATATAGCCAGATATTCCTCAATGGGATTACAAATGCCACCTGCATGTTTCTTGCAGGGACAGTAATGAGATGGTTGAAAAGGGCCACCGTGAGATAAGATCTTCAAGATAGGTAATCATGTATAGCAATTCAGAAACTTTGTATTCCATGTAGTCACTTTTGTGGGGACTAAGTAAAATCATGGATCGATATTACCTATTTTCATTACCAAAAAAACATTTCTACTGACAGATGGATCAACATGGCTAGATCGTCCTAGAATCTGAAGAGAACCCAGAATACACATACACAGAGGGGAAAAAATATACACGACTGGTACCAAATTGACAACAAATTTTTTAATAACATCCGTTGTCAAGTATATACATACATACAACAAAAACATGTAATGTTGACCACGCAACGCTGTCAAGATTGCAACAATTCGTTGTCGCAATCTAATTTTTTGTATGTATGTATATAATTGACAACGGATGTTATTGAAAAAATTGGTGTCAATTTGGTACCTGGCGTGTATATGTTATTTTCCTTCTGTGTACACATATACTTTTGCACATCGTCTACGTCCAATATTTCGATATGTTACAAAATGAGTGATAGAACTGAAAATAGTTTTGATACCGGTTATAAAAAGATCTCTTGACGCTTTACATAAAAACTCCAAAAGATAATTTATTATTTTCATATCGTAATCATATTTTAAACAGTATTTAAACAAATTGATATACTTATTTTGGAAGAAAGATATATATTTATAAATTTCTTAACATTTATGCATTAACCTTGTTCGAAGGACCAATTTCTCATACAAAAGATTTCCACAATTAATATATTAAAAATTTTATTACTTTTTAAAGCTTTTAACAATTTCACTTAACATTATCTCAATTCGGAGTGATATTTTAAACTCTTATGATGGTTCGAAGGACCAATTTCTTACACATTAAAATGTTAAAGTTTAATATAAAATATACGTCAAACTAAAGCTCATACGAATTACAATATTTTTCTTACATTCTCAATATTTTTAAAATATATTAAGGGTTAATTTCTTAATATAATATTTTTTACCTTTTTGAAAAAAAACAACAATTGTCTTTAAATTTTTTTTCGTTTCTTTTTAAAAAAGGAAGTCTATAATTTTCAATACCATTTAATATAAAGTTTTTTTGTCAACATTTCTTTGGTATGTAAATTGTTGATTTCCTTTAAAGTTTAGTGTTTTTTTTTCTGCTGCACTTTTTAACTTAAACAAAATTTAAGGAAATAAAATACAATATATTTTTTATGTACAATTTTTAGGCGAACGTTTGTAAGTTTTATTTTTGCAATTACAAACATATTTGTTTGTTTTACTGTAATGAAAGTGTCATTTTTAGTGTTTAAGGAAGACTTAAATTTAAATATTTTTTTTCTGTTATTTTGAAAAGTTTTCTTTAGTGCTTTTATAAAGTTTTGTTTTTGTTGCTGTATATAAGATAATATTTTTATTTCATTTTTCCTTAGTTTTTTTATGGTTTAAACCTAAGTTTTTTTTATAGTGAGAGTTTATCCCATAGTGGTGCGTTTTTATTATTGGTTAATATATGTATATGGAAAATATATTATTATATAATTTCTATTCATAAATATTTGCAATTATTTCCGCTTTTTGGTGAAAAAGAAAGGGAGTTTTTTTTTTGGCAAAAAGAGGTTTGTAAGTTAATGTTACAATGAGGCCATTACTATTGATAAAATAGTTCATGTATTCAAAGCTCATGTAAGCTTCGCAATAGAGACATTATATCTGTAAGGCAGCAGGTAAGCACTACATATGTTGCTACTTATTTAATTGCTTACACTGTTGCTTAGATAGTTTGTTTATAATAGTTCCTGTTTGATAAGATATTATTGTTTATTTTAATAATATTTTAAAGATTTTAGCTTTAATTAAATCAATTTATTCTAATTTCTTAAAAAAAAAGCTATTAAGTTTTAAACTTTTCAAAATTATATAATCAACAAATCTTAATTAACAATTATATTATATTTTTTCTATCTTTACAGTTTTCCACAAACCAGCTATAAACCACAGCTAGTGTTCTAAAACCGTCTTATTTGGTAAGTTTTTGTTTTTAAATCAAAATTTATACATTTAACCATAAACAGCTATATAATTTTGAACTTAAACTATAATTTAAAAACCAAAATTGTTACCAATAAACTATAATTTTTATTAACGTTTAACATTAAAACGTTACTACCTTTTAATTTCATTTTAAAGACCTATAATTTTTAACAAAACCCCAAAGATAAAGAAAGAAAAACGCAACAAAAAACAATAGAAGGAATAGGAAAAATCTAAAAGCTATTAAATATAATTAAAATTGAATATTCATTAAAAATGAGTTTTAGAATAAAACGCCTTCTATATAAAAAAAGTTTCATAAGAACTTAAGATTTTAGTGTTAAAATAAATTTCTATTAAACTTGAAAACATTCTGCTGCCCTCTTTTCCATATTCCACACAAAATTCATTTAAAACAAAATTTATAACTTTGAACTTGACAGGGCGGCCTGTGGCCATAGTGACTTTTATAGAACCATTTAAGCAATAACTAAAAGAGTTTATATTCTTTTGCTACACATGTTTTTTGTCTCAACACAAAATACCAATTTAAAAAATACATTAAGATATTTACTGTTAATAAAATATATAAAAAAAAAATTCTTTGAAAATGTCTTTTATTCTTATCAACTTTTTGTCATAAATAAAAATATAATAATTTTTCTAATCATTTTAAGCAGTAGTTGAAGCTTCATTATAAATTCCTAAAAAGCTTTACAAATTAACCTAAATATGCTTGACACCAAACAAAAATAATATGAATTAATAAATTATTTCTGAGAAATTATTACACAAAATAAATGCTTATGAGAAAGTTTGTAAATAACAAATTTAATAAAGTAATTATTATTCCCTAGACATTTCCGAAATTAAACATAAAATATTAATTTTAGAGCTAAAAATTAACGGAACTTTTGATTTTGACTATAACTTGTAAAGCTTTGCTTTGAAAAATTTTTAGAATAACTGCATTTTTTTACATTTGTTTGTAGAATGCCAAATAAATTGTAAAACATATGTATGTATAAAAACCATTAAGTTTTGATTATAACAACTTCTATCTGCAAATAGAGCTTTTAAACATTTTTTTTTAAACTTTGCAAAAATTAATTTTTTCACTTCAAATTTACTTTAGTCGAAATATAAAAATTATTTTGAGCTTTTATGATAAAAGCTTTATTTTGACCTTTTTTGATTAAAACTTTTATTACAGCCTTTTATAAAAGCTATTATTTGGTCTGGTTGTTTGAAAAGCTTTTATTTAAGCTTTTTTTATAAAAGCTTTTATTTAAGCTTTTTTTGATAAAAGCTTTAATTTTATTTTGATTTTTTTTGTATAAAATAATTTGAAAGTTTTTTTAGACAGCTTTTTTTAAAGCTTTTTTGATAAAAGCTTTTACTTCAGCTTTTTTATAAAAGCTTTTTTCAAATTTACTTTACTCGAAATTTGTTTATAGGACAGGCTTTATTTTGAGATTTTTTTATATAAAAATTATTTTGAGCTTTTTTGATAAAAGCTTTATTTTGTCCTTTTTCTGATTATAACATTTATTACAGGCTTTTATAAAAGCTATTATTTGGGCTGGTTGTTTAAAAAGCATTTATTTAATTTTTTTTTTTTTTGATAAAAGCTTTTATTTAAGCTTTTTTGATAAAAGCTTTTATTTAAGCTTTTTTGATAAAAGCTTTTATTAAAGCTTTTTTGATATAAGCTTTTATTTAAGCTTTTTTGATATAAGCTTTTATTTAAGCTTTTTTGATAAAAGCCTTTACTTCAGCTTTTTTATAAAAGCTTTTTTCAAATTTACTTTACTCTGAATTGTTTTGTAGGATAAGCTTTATTTTATAAGCTTTTTTGATTAAAGTTTTTATTTAAGCATTTTTGATAAAAGCTTTTATTTCAGCTTTTTATAAAAGCTTTTTTGTTAAAAAACTTCTTTATTTTAAACTTTTTTTAACGGATTCATTTTTACTTTTATTGATAGAAAATTTTTAAGCTTTTCCGATAAAAGTTTTTAGAAAAGCTTTATAAAATTTCAAGTTTTTTTGATAAAAAAAAGTTTTTGCTGTAAAAAAGTTTTATGGTAAAAATAGTTTCCTTTAAAGAGCTTTTGTGGAAATAGCTTTTTAAAAAATATTTCTTGAAAAAGCTTTTTTAGAAAATGTTTTAAAAAAAAGTTCAAAATATTAATGAATATTAATTTTATTTAAATTTATAAAAAGCTTTGCTGTTATTTTATATTATATAAAAGCTCCTATTGTTAAAAAGTTTCCAGAAAAAAAGCTTCTAACAGCTGTTTTATCTGAAAAACTTCTCAAAAATCTTTTCAAAATATTTAAATAAAACCCTTTTTACGAAAAGAGCTTTTTTGTTTAATAGCTTTTGCCTTAATGTATAGCATGAAGGACCATTTTCTTAAGCAGTAAACAACCTAATATGATTTTGAATCTAACAGTTTAGTGTACTAAACAAGTTTCCCATTAAACCCACCATTTTGTGGACATTTTAACTTCATGATTTCCTTAAATTTCTATAATATTTTCTTAAAAAGCTTTAATATTTATGTAATTTTAGCTGTTTGCTTGTTTTGCTCCATGTGTTTAAGTTATTATGTCTTTAATGGTTTTCAACATAATTTGAACTATATAACATGCATAAATATTTTCAGGTCTAAAGTGTTTCATTAATTTTTATTGATCACGTTTTGACCCATCCATCCATCTTTTACTGAGTTTACATGTAGATAAAACTTTATTAAACAAAATATATGATGAATATTGTTTAGTTAGTTAAAGAGCAAAGAAAGCTGAATAAAATTGAGGAAAAATGCTAAGAAATTTTATAGACCAAAAAAATAAAGATTTCCATGTTGGAAGTTTTATTATAAAATAAATTTAATTTTGCTCTTAATTTTTTCTCAAAATTTCATGTCTTTGTCATGCTGACTATTTTTATGATATAATTTTTTATGATTTTGTTCAACTATATTTTTGTTACCCTTTGTCGTAAAAAATATCTTCAGTTGCAGTTTTTGTTGCTTTAATTTTCAAACTGACTCTAATGATGCTTAATAATACTTAACTACCGATAATTAATGGAAAATGTTACACCATAAAAACCAAAATGCTGCAACTACACCAGTTCCAAAAGAAAATTTAAATAGAAATGAAAATACTCCTAAAAAATCTTAAATTTTGTGCTTTGAAAATATGGTCCTTCGAATGATGACTTCCTGGAAAAAGCTTTTTAAACTATAAATATGTGAGTAACAAGCTTTTACTCAAAAACTCGTTACTCAACTTAATGGAAAGCTAACACAACAAAGCTTGTATTGAAAATTGGTCCTTCGTAACAAAAAGCTTTAGAGAGAGACATTCTAAAACAAGAGAAACAGTGTAATATATGCCATTGCAACATGCCTGCATTCTAAACAAAGACAGACAGACAGACAGTTGTTAAAAATGTCAATTCTCTTTACACTAACTTCTCACTAAGAAACTTTGATCGTCGTCGGCATTCTTTTGTAAATAATTTTCATGTTTTTCTTCATTCTGTTTTCAAAATCATGCATGAAAAATTAAAGAAAAAGAAATATAGATAATTTGTTATAATTAAAGACAAAAACAGACCATATAAAATACATTTTAATTTTATAATTTATTTAAAAACCCCACCATCATCATGATCACTAATGCTGACAGTGTAATGTATAGTGTAGACAAAATCGCCCTGTCTGCTATCGGCTGTATAAGGGTAATAAATTTGTAATTATTTTTATTGTTATTATTTTCTGCAGTAAATTTTTTTTTTTATTATAAGACAATTGTTTATGTACGAAGAAATTAACAATTACATGCTGGTTGTTTTATTTCAATTCGTTTTTTATAATAGAATATTTTGAATTATTTTTTTTTCTTTATATATTTTTTTTTTTATAGACGTAATTAAAAATTACGGTTTCTTGCATTAAGTTCCTGTATTTTATTACTACAAAAATCCAGTATTTTCTTCTTTTCTTTTTTTGGTAAATCATCATAAAAATAACTGAAAATCCAAAAACGTCAGCAAACAACAGCAACAACAACTTCAAATCGATGACAGCTATAAATTTAATTTAATTGAAGTTGAAAGTTTTGTACTTAAATTCTGAAGTATTTTTTTCTTAATTTTTTTTTAAATCCCCACTTGAGAAATAAAGTGAAACTGAAAGCTTAAATTAAGCAGAGTTGAAACAACATACAGGCCGGGTAATAAAAACAAAAACAATTTCAATTGGTTTTGAAATTGAAATTAATTTTCAATGTTTATGTCACATGAAACAAAAAAAGAAGAATTTTTGTTTTTAATTTCACTTTAACAATTCCCTAAAAAAAAGCTGACAAATTGTTAATCCTCTTAATAGAAGTTAAGCTGCTGCATGAGTAATTACTTATTTTTTTTTTATTGCCAGTGATAAAGTGATATTTGTTATAAATTTAAAGCTTAATTAAAGCTTTTACAGCACTTGAAAGAGTTTTAACAAAAGCTTTAATTCTACTAAGTATCTTCTTAAAAATGTTTAGAATTTTTTAAGCTTTCATAGTTATTAATTCTCAGCTTTAATTTGTCATTAAAAAATATTTGTTTAAAAGGAAAAAGCTTTGGCTGAAAGCTAATTAATGTAATAAGTTTTTTAATTTCCATTTAGAAAAGCTTTCGTTTTTTGAAACTGCCAGCTTTTAACAAACACTTTGAAACCTTTTTAAAATAAAATTACTTAAAATACTTAGTATATTCTAATTTAAACTATATTTGGCAAAAAGCTTGAGGAATTGAAGCAAATACAATTAATAAACGACTTTAGGACTTTAAAAGCTTTTTTAATAGAAAAAGCTAATAAAATTAACATGAAAAGCTTAAGTAGTTTTTATTTAAATATAAAATATAATTTCGTAAAAATATAAAAAAAGCTTGGAAACTTAATTCTCAATTAAAAGCTTTAAGTTAAAACTT